CCCCTTGTTAAGTCCTTAGTCCTCGTTGGCCCGTTCACCAGTTCCTCATGCGCTCTGCTCCATATTTTCTACCCATCTGGTTCGTTGCATGTATTGTGTGTGTGTGTATGTGTGTGTGTGTGTGGCTTGCGTGTGGGCGGTGGCCATCGAGGTCGCTCTCTAGGTGATCTTGATTTATAGCACTGTGGTTCATTAAGGCCTCTGCGCCGTTTGATCAAACACACTCTGAGCATCAGCAGATCTGATGGAGAGATGATTCATGTCTGTGTGTGTGTGTGTGTGTGTGTGTGTGTGTGTGTGTGTGTGTGTGTGTGTGTCTGTGTGTGTGTCTGTGTGTGACGTGTGTGTCTATGTGTGTCTGTGTGTGTGTGTCTGTCTGTCTGTGTGTGTGTGTGTCTGTGTGTGTGTGTGTGTCTGTCTGTCTGTCTGTGTGTGTGTGTGTCTGTGTGTGTGTGTGTGTGTGTGTGTGTCTGTGTGTCTGTCTGTGTGCCTGTCTCTGTGTGTGTGTGTGTGTGTGTGTGTGTGTGTCTGTCTGTCTGTGTGTGTGTCTGTGTCTGTCTGTCTGTGTGTGACGTGTGTGTCTATGTGTGTCTGTGTGTGACGTTTGTGTGTGTGTGTGTGTGTGTGTGTGTGTGTCTGTGTGTGTGTGTGTGTGTCTGTCTGTCTGTGTGTGTCTGTGTCTGTCTGTGTGTGACGTGTGTGTGTGTCTCTCTCTCTGTGTGTGTGTGTGTGTGTGTGTGTGTCTGTGTGTCTCACGGATGTTACCGTTCCCTCTCTGATCTCTTGCGGTTGTCTTTATAACCGATGGTTTAACATTATGCATGTGTAAGATGTCCTGGAAAAAATCAATGCACTAACACCAGATTCACTTTTCCTCTCATTTGAGAGAAGATCTTGGAAAATGAAAATGTAAATGTTAAACTAGCAAGACTTCACAAAAAAAGTGAAAAATAGCGCAATGAGTTTTCCTGTTCAGTGTGATGTTTAATATCCGACAAACTCTGTATTTCCATGTAGCCTCTTGTTCACGCATATCTCAGTCCATTCGTCCGTAATTGTGTTTTGCACGTTTATGAGAGAGTGAGATACTTCGGGGAGGAGGGAATCAATCACTCGCTTTCCCTCCGACAGCTCAAAGTTGTATGTTTATCGATCGCATCACGTTCAGGCAGTCTCTCGGTGTCTCTGAAACGCTCAGTCTTCTGCAGGGTCGCAGCGGTTGGATGGCAGTGTTCCTCTGACAGCCGTTGAGAAGTTTTTCCACAGTGGAACCGAATCCAGCGCGACCCGTTCGGGCCCCTGTTCCCTTCTCACATGACAGGCCCCGTTTGCCAAAAGCCCCCGAGGAGAGCGGCTCGACACTTTCAGGATGATTTTGATCGTGGCTGATTCTGTAATACACGCGTTTATTGGCTTATTGCTAATGGCGTGAAGCTCTCAGTGCCAGTTTGGGGAAACTCAACTCTGTGTTTGAAATTATGGCTGAGGAATGATGGACGCCAGAGAGTCTCGCCTGGGAGCCTGTTAGATGGTTTACAAAACACTCATATATATATATATATCGAGTGAACAGACTCTGAAGTGTTTATTATGCAGCTCCCTGTCATGCTGTCAGATGTTTCTGCACATCGACAGACCGAAGAAACTCTGCAAAACTCCTACTTAAATCCACCCTGACAAAGATAATGATGTGAATCTCTAAAAAAAAGAATAAAAATACATGACACACAGAAATATTGGGTAAAAAAAGTCTGTTTTAAATTAGATTTATTACATGCAATGTCACCTTTGAATTAAGTAAAAACCAGAATTTATTTGGGGTAAATATCTGTCACTTTTAAATTAAAATTAGTAAAAAAATATTTCAAAAAATGTGTGTGTATTCCTTATTTTATACACATTAAATTAATACTGTGTAATATTGTGTAATAATTTAAATATTTATAATTAACATTTGTCTTGATTTGTTTGGTGGATGGAAAATTAAATATCAATATTTCAATATTTTATACACATTAAATTAATATCATAATATTGTGTAATAATTTGGATAATATTTATAATAAACATTTATATTAAAATAAAATGTCATATTTTATGCACAATAATTTAATATCATAATATTGTATAATACTTAACATAATATTAATAATAAAACATTTGTCTTGCTTTGTTTGCTAACTGGTTGTAATGCATTCAGGGATTTATTGTTTTACTTGAATAAAGTAGGTAAATGTCTGTCCAAATATTTTTCAAAATAGAATATTTGTATATTTTCAAGATTGAATCTATATTAAATAATATCACAATATTGTATAATAATTTACAAAATGTTTATAAATAAAAATGAGTCTTGCTTTAGTTTGCCAACTTGGATCTATATATATATTTTTTTTTTCCACAGTGGTTATTGACATGCATTTAGTTTACTAAATTTACTTTAACATCTACTTTGTTACTTCTGTAATTATGCTTCTTACTGCTTATGATATATTCAATCTGTCTACATAAGCAGCTCAGTAGATTTCGGAGCAGATCCTGTGTGTCCCGTTGACTCTGGATTAGATAACCAATCAGCTGGCAGATCAGACATTCGCCCCCGTGACCCCGAGCTGGCACATGGGAATCCTAGTCAGCTGTTCCAAATGTATTATATTTAAGTACCCCGCTCTTCATTACTACGCGGAACAGAGCTGTAATCTGATAGTATTCGTGTCTTATCAGAGTCTCACATGATAAACAAGCCTGCAGGAGCCTGAGATCGCCCGCTAAAACAACCAGGAACAACCCCAGTTCTGATACAGTAATGCAGCTTTAGGAGGAAGAGCGTCACTTGTCCACACCCGGACTGATGGACTGGTTTACTCCGTGTTTGTTTTTGGTGTGGCATTCAGGAAATGCTTGTTTCCCTTCCTCTTTGCCTGGTTTCTGAATCCTCTGAGCCGTAAATAGCAGCGTGGTGTAATCAGGAGACTCGGCCCGCACAAGCACAATGTGGGCTCTGTTGCGCCAGTGTGAACCTTGAGTGAAGTGCATTGTGTTGGGTCTTAAAGAGCCCTCTAGACCGCACATCTCAGTCTTGTTAAGAGGGTTATGAAGGGCCACTGCGGAGCTGATTGTTTGCGCACACTTTAATGCTTTGGGCTTTTAACGTGAATTTCCGTCCTGTCCTGAAACGTGCCATAATCACAGCCGCATTTTTAGCGCTAATCTCTGAAAGCTCCACGTATAATCCCGCCAAATATGTTAATTCTGCTGTTTGTTTGGAGTTGAACTCAAGAACCTCCGACTAAATTAAAACAAAAAATGAGGAATGTTCTAGAGAAATGCTTAAGGACAACATGCAACTGCATTATCAATGCATGCAACTGCAGTTATTTAACATTTTTGAGTGAAAAAACAATATTGAGCGGGAAATAATATGTGGCGGGGCTTAATATGATGAAAAAACCTTAGCATTGAGTCAGTGAGTCTTGCATGTGTGACCACAGAGCATGGTGCTCGCAACACCAAGGTCATGGGGTCAATTCCAAGGGAATGTATGAACTCATCAAATGTAATATCTTGAATGCAATGTAAGTTACTTTGGATAAAAGTGCATTAAAGTACATGCATTTATGGGCATAAAAGTTCATGCATTTATGGGCATAAAAGTACATGCATTTATGGCCATAAAAGTACATGCATGTATGGGCATAAAAGTACATGCATTTATGGGCATAAAAGTACATGCATTTATAGGCATAAAAGTACATGCATTTATGGGCATAAAAGTACATGCATTTATAGGCTTAAAAGTATATGCATGTATGGGCATAAAAGTTCATGCATTTATGGGCATAAAAGTACATGCATTTATAGGCTTAAAAGTACATGCATTTATGGGCATAAAAGTACATGCATTAATAGGCATAAAAGTACATGCATGTATGGGCATAAAAGTACATGCATTTATGGGCATAAAAGTTCATGCATTTATGGGCATAAAAGTACATGCATTTATAGGCTTAAAAGTACATGCATGTATGGGCATAAAAGTACATGCATTAATAGGCTTAAAAGTACATGCATGTATGGGCATAAAAGTACATGCATTAATAGGCTTAAAAGTACATGCATGTATGGGCATAAAAGTATATGCATGTATGGGCATAAAAGTATATGCATGAATGGGCATAAAAGTACATGCATGAATGGGCATAAAAGTACATGCATGTATGGGCATAAAAGTACATGCATGTATGGGCATAAAAGTACATGCATTTATGGGCATAAAAGTACATGCATTTATAGGCTAAAAAGTACATGCATGTATGGGCATAAAAGTACATGCATGTATGGGCATAAAAGTACATGCATTAATAGGCATAAAAGTACATGCATTTATGGGCATAAAAGTTCATGCATTTATGGGCTTAAAAGTACATGCATGTATGGGCATAAAAGTACATGCATGTATGGGCATAAAAGTACATGCATTAATAGGCATAAAAGTACATGCATTTATGGGCATAAAAGTTCATGCATTTATGGGCATAAAAGTACATAGGCATAAAAGTTCATGCATGTATGGGCATAAAAGTACATGCATGTATGGGCATAAAAGTACATGCATGTATGGGCATAAAAGTACATGCATGTATGGGCATAAAAGTACATGCATTAATAGGCATAAAAGTACATGCATTTATGGTCATAAAAGTACATGCATTAATGGGCATAAAAGTACATGCATTTATAGGCATAAAAGTACATGCATTTATGGGCATAAAAGTTCATGCATTTATGGGCATAAAAGTACATGCATTAATGGGCATAAAAGTACATGCATTTATAGGCATAAAAGTACATGCATTTATAGGCATAAAAGTTCATGCATGTATGGGCATAAAAGTACATGCATTTTTGGGCATAAAAATTCATGCATATTGTGTGAGACCTTTTTTGTAATTTAAGTAACACACTCTCTCTCTCTCTCTCCTTCTCCTTCCCTCTTTCAGATTGATCGGTCACTCCATGGGGATTCTCCGGTGCTTTCCGTCTGGTTTCTCCTGCCCTTCACCCCTCGGCCTGCCCTCCACCCTCTACAGCACCGCCTCTATACAAATCATGAAACTGGTATTAACTGAATGGCAATTGATATGGATTTTTACTGTTTCCAGTAGACAGTAAACACACCTACACACACAGACACAAACACACACCAGTACATGCGCACACACACACACATACACACACACACACACACACACACACACACACACACACTCACTCACACATACACACTGACACATCACACCAGCAGGAGTGACCTCATGATAGAGTCATATCCTCCCCTGTCCGACCCAAATCCCCCGACTTGGCCCGTCCCAGGGCTCCTGCAGGAGGCCTCATTCAAACGCCAGGTTTCAGGATATATACCTCTCTCTGAGTGCAATCCACGGCTGAGCTCCTCGACAGAAAGGCTTTATTCTTCCTAGATTTGTGTGTGTTTGCTGTTGGTCGTGCGTGGAGCCACACGTGACCCGTGCTCCGAGTGCATGCCGACGACAGCGAGGATGGCCCCGCAGAACACCGAGGCCGACGCCGTGCAGATGCAGGCCCTGGGGCCGCCCGCGGAGAAACATGGAGGAGGGGGCGGGGCTAACGGAGTGGGCGGGGCCGGAGGGCGGGGCTTGGAGTGTCAGGAGGAGTCAGTCAGTGAGGTTTCTATAGACCGGATCCCACTGCGCCAGTGGGTGATGCACGGAGCCGTCATGTTCGGGCGAGAGTTCTGCTATGCCATGGAGACGGCGCTGGTCACGCCTGTGCTGCTGCAGATCGGTGAGACTTACTGACCAGAAACATTCACATCACAAGAAACCAAATCAGAAAGTCTAACACGGCCTGATGCACACATCTGATATTTGTGCCTTGATTTCAAATTGGTGTATGATGTTTTCACTCTATTTTTTGGATAAACTTCAGGCCTCTTCTGCTGCGTGTGTGTGTGTGATGGATAGGTTTAGGGGTCAGGTTAGTGTGTGTGTATGATGGGTGTGTGTGATGGGTGGGTGGGTTTAGGGGTCGGGTTAGTGTGTGTGTGTGTGAGACATGGGTAGGTTTAGGGGTCGGGTTAGTGTGTGTGTGTGTGTGTGTGTGTGTGTAAGATGGGTAGGTTTAGGGGTCGGGTTAGTGTGTGTGTGTGAGATGGGTAGGTTTAGGGGTCGGGTTAGTGTGTGTGTGTGTGTCAGAGATGGTGTTCGGTTTAGGGGTCGTGTGTGTGTATGATGGGAAGGTTTAGGGGTCGGGTTAGTGTGTGTGTGTGTGTGTGTGTGTGTGTGTGTGTGTGTGATGGGAAGGTTTAGGGGTTGTGTGTGTGTGTGTGTGTGTGTGTGTGTGTGTGTGTGTGTGTGTGTATGATGGGAAGGTTTAGGGGTCGGGTTAGTGTGTGTGTGTGTGTGTGATGGGAAGGTTTAGGGGTTGTGTGTGTGTGTGTGTATGATGGGAAGGTTTAGGGGTCGGGTTAGTTTGTGTGTGTGTGATGGGAAGGTTTAGGGGTCGGGTTAGTTTGTGTGTGTGTGTGTGTGTGTGTGTGTGTGTGTGTGTGTGTGTGTGTGTGTGTGTGATGGGAAGGTTTAGGGGTCGTGTGTGTGTGTATGTGTGAGTGAGTGATGGTAGGTTTAGGGGTCGGGTTAGTGTGTGTGATGGGTAGGTTTAGGGGTCGGGTTAGTGTGTGTGTGTGTGATGGGAAGATTTAGGGGTCGTGTGAGTGAGTAAGTGAGTGAGTGAGTGATGGGTAGGTTTAGGGGTCGGGTTAGTGTGTGTGTGTGTGTGTGTGTGCGTGTGCGTGTGTGTGATGGGTAGGTTTAGGGGTCGGGTTAGTGTGTGTGTGATGGGTAGGTTTAGGGGTCGGGTTAGTGTGTGTGTGATGGGTAGGTTTAGGGGTAGGATTAGTGTAAGGGGACAGAATATACAGTTTGGTCAGTATAAAAACCATTACATCTATGGAGAGTCCTCACAAAGATAGCGAACCACACTGTGAGTGTGTGTGTGTGTTTGAGAGAGAGTGAGAGTGAAAGTGAGAGTGAGAGAGAGACATGCGCTGCATGACTCGTCTGCCAGTTCATAGATTATGTAAACGACACTCCAGGCCTTTATTTCACTCATGCAAACAGCTGTGGGTCTGGAGGAGCAGGGCCGTTTTTGTTCCTCATAATCATAATGCTCATTCTGAACAGGAAGTCCCCTTTCCTAAACAGGAAGCCCAACAGTGATTGGTGTGATATTATTTAATTACGTCTACATAGTATATGTGACTTAAATCAATTACTGCTAAAGTTTATTTTTTGCCTTTTTTCATGAAGGAACCCAACTAACTCTGTTAAAGTTAACATGAAATGGTATTCACAATAACAACCCATTTTAAATCCACACTTTGCTGTATTTTCATATTTAGCAGGATAAAAACCTAAAAAAAAAATTGTTTACATTATTTGTTTATTGAAAGAAGTCTCTTAATGCTCAAGGCTGCATTTATTTGATCAAAAATACAGTAAAAACAGCAATATTGTGAAATATATTATCACAGGTAATCTTTTAAACTGTGATCAAAGCTGAATTTTGGAATTTCAGAAAATCGAATCCGATCCGAATTTTTTTATGACGGACGAAAGTTTCGGAGGCAGTGATTGACATAACGTGAGTTCGTGTTTATTTTTTTACGTGCAAAAATTTCGGACACGCCTTTAAAGGTGCTGTATGTGATTTAGTCGACCGTACTAAAGCATAAGAATATGCTTTTGCAGATATTTAGGAAACATGGCAGTTCTGTTCTGAAAACAGATGCTACTTTGTTTATTCTACTTTATAATGTGTGTTCTGTGTCGTAATGTCTGTTTTTGTTCTGGTCTGTGTGACTCCGCCCACTGCCAGTTCAGCCAATAGTATTTCGACGCCCCGGGTTGCCAGTTGTTGAAACAGTCTATTGCAGCCAAGCCTACAAATGAACTGGGTCAGAGATCGCAGATCCATCTATAACACTGTATGACCAGAGGCATATGAAAACATGGATGAATCAACTGATCAGCTTTCAGTGTAAAGCTGGACACCTTCCATGGCTCATTCCTGTTACCTATGCTCAATCTGGCAACCCTGCGTGCGCGTCGAGGCGTGAGAAACAACTCTAAACTGCAGTACCCATTCAATCACTAGCTATCAATATGAAATACTGCACCTTTAATTGCAGTGTAAGTCACTTTTGCATCTCCTAAATGCATAAATGCACACACTTTTCGTTTTTTCACTCGTTCGCACTGCAGCACCAGTTAGTTATTAGCTACACTTCTCGCTAGACCTTGCTAGCATACCATGACAGCAACCGAGGACACATTTACTCTGAACAGTGTTTTTCTCTCCATAATTTATTGCGCTGTAACTCTGTCATTTCAATGAACTGCTCCTTCAAAAGAGCCGATTCAGTCATCGCTCAATAATCTGTGCATGTAATTTTACAACACTTTACAGTACGGTCTCAGTAGTTGACATGAGTTTATGTATTAACTGATAATGAGCAATACATTTGTTACAGTATTTGTTCATATTTATTAACATTAGTTAATTCATTGTCCATTTGATACAACTTCTGAATTTAATAATGTTGAAATTACCTTATAGGGTTAATAAATACTTTAGTAGTTTAATCATATTCATTGTTAAATCATGTTAACTACTATTGTAAACTGTTACCATAAACCCTGTAACATACTGCACTGCAAAAAAAAAAAAGATCTATACGTTATGACAACATGTTTTTACATTGCTTTAACTCAACAAAATAAGTTAAGCAATTTTCAACTTTTTTTAATAAGTTATACAAGATAAGTCAGTTTAATGTCATTTAAGTTGAAATGACTTAAACATCCAAGTTGATTGTACTTAAATTTAAGGCAGCAACTTTACAGTGTGCTGTTTATCAACATTTCTTTGTTTATTGTACTTTATTGTACACTTTAGTGTTTAAGTTTGATTTCCTTTTTTTTTTTGTGCTAGAAAAGTACTGCAAAGTTTTTTTTCACATTCTGATAATTATCTAAATTGTCTGTAGAAAGTGAATCTTGATTGTCGTTTAAGAATGCTCTCATTTGCTCTGTTGCGTATCATTGGTGATTATGTAAAGTAATGGAGAATTCCCTGGATTTAAAGGATTAGGTTTAGGCCAGTGTGAGAGATGCGACATGCTAACTTTAGAGTCTTCTGTGACTGTGTCTGCAAAGATCAGGCACTTTGTGTCCGAACGACAATTGCAATGGATAAGAAGATTTGTGGAGGTTGATCCGCCCTCGTGTGTGTGTGTGTGTGACGGGAAGGTTCAGGGGTCGGGTTAGCGTGCGCGACGGGAAGGTTCAGGGGTCGGGTTAGCGTGCGCGACGGGAAGGTTCAGGGGTCGGGTTAGCGTGCGCGACGGGAAGATTCAGGGGTCGGGTTAGCGTGCGCGACGGCAAGGTTCAGGGGTCGGGTTAGCGTGCGCGACGGCAAGGTTCAGGGGTTGGGTTAGCGTGCGCGACGGGAAGGTTCAGGGGTCGGGTTAGCGTGCGCGACGGGAAGGTTCAGGGGTCGGGTTAGCGTGCGCGACGGCAAGGTTCAGGGGTCGGGTTAGCGTGCGCGACGGGAAGGTTCAGGGGTTGGGTTAGCGTGCGCGACGGCAAGGTTCAGGGGTTGGGTTAGCGTGCGCGACGGCAAGGTTCAGGGGTTGGGTTAGCGTGCGCGACGGGAAGGTTCAGGGGTCGGGTTAGCGTGCGCGACGGCAAGGTTCAGGGGTCGGGTTAGCGTGCGCGACGGGAAGGTTCAGGGGTTGGGTTAGCGTGCGCGACGGGAAGGTTCAGGGGTCGGGTTAGCGTGCGCGACGGGAAGGTTCAGGGGTCGGGTTAGCGTGCGCGACGGGAAGGTTCAGGGGTTGGGTTAGCGTGCGCGACGGCAAGGTTCAGGGGTTGGGTTAGCGTGCGCGACGGGAAGGTTCAGGGGTCGGGTTAGCGTGCGCGACGGCAAGGTTCAGGGGTCGGGTTAGCGTGCGCGACGGGAAGGTTCAGGGGTCGGGTTAGCGTGCGCGACGGGAAGGTTCAGGGGTCGGGTTAGCGCGCGCGACGGGAAGGTTCAGGGGTCGGGTTAGCGCGCGCGCGACGGGAAGGTTCAGGGGTCGGGTTAGCGTGCGCGACGGGAAGGTTCAGGGGTCGGGTTAGCGCGCGCGCGACGGGAAGGTTCAGGGGTCGGGTTAGCGTGCGCGACGGCAAGGTTCAGGGGTTGGGTTAGCGTGCGCAACGGGAAGGTTCAGGGGTCGGGTTAGCGTGCGCGACGGGAAGGTTCAGGGGTCGGGTTAGCGTGCGCGACGGGAAGGTTCAGGGGTCGGGTTAGCGTGCGTGACGGGAAGGATGAGGGGGTCGGGTTAGCGTGCGCGACGGCAAGGTTCAGGGGTTGGGTTAGCGTGCGCGACGGGAAGGTTCAGGGGTCGGGTTAGCGTGTGTTACGGGTAGGTTCAGGGGTCGGGTTAGCGTGTGTTACGGGTAGATTCAGGGGTCGGGTTAGCGTGCGCGACGGGAAGGTTCAGGGGTCGGGTTAGCGTGCGCGACGGGAAGGTTCAGGGGTCGGGTTAGCGTGCGCGACGGAAAGATTCAGGGGTCGGGTTAGCGTGCGTGACGGGAAGGATGAGGGGGTCGGGTTAGCGTGCGCGACGGGAAGATTCAGGGGTCGGGTTAGTGTGTGTTACGGGTAGGTTCAGGGGTCGGGTTAGCGTGCGCGACGGGAAGGCTCAGGGGTCGGGTTAGCGTGCGCGACGGGAAGGCTCAGGG